GATCTGATGTGGGAGGGTTTGTTTTTCTCCTTCCCAGGAATCCCAGGGCTGGCTGAGATATCCTAATTCCATGGATTCAGACACACCACCCTTTGGAAAGGAGCTTTCCCCCAGAGTATTTTCAGCAGCTTCTTTCTTCCCCTGAATAATTTATTTTTTTTTTTTCTTTTCTTTTCACTCTGTGAAAAATGTAACCAAATTTTCCAGAGAGTTATTTTTCCTGCTAAAATGTGGGATTGGGTTTCCTGCTGGGTGTTATCCCAGTCATGTTCTGCTTCCACTTGCTCTGTTATCCTGGAAAACTGAGCTGGATTCAGATCAGTCCAATGCAGGGAAAAGTAACAAGAGCAAGTCCAACTTTTTTTCCTGAAAATAAAAAGAAACAACAAAACCTGAGGATTAATAATTTGTGTGATGGATCTCAGGGGAAACAGCTGGAATCCCTCTGGAAATGAGGTGTCACCTCTGGAAAGTCCTTTGAGCACCTTGATGGTGGAGGTGTCCGTTTCCTGAGGGAATTTGAGGGTCCATTTGAGGGAATTTGGGAGCCTGAAAAACTCAGATTATGTGGAAACCACTCGAATCCCTAATTTTGAGCAGCTCAGGAAAGGGAGAGTTGGAGCATTTTGGGGTTTGAATTTCTCATGTCCAGGTTTGGCTTGGGTTTTTTGCATCATTTCAGGAGAGCCAGAGGATTTCAGAGGAGCTCTAGACCCAAATATTGAGGATATTTTTTCTCTTCCAATACACCCACATGATTTGGATTGGGAAAAAAATGAGATATTTCCACGTGCAGGTCCCGTGATGGAGTGAGTGTGATTTAAATACCGTGCACCGAGGCAGAAATTAGGAAATTAGAGGGAAATCAGGAGCAGCACATCCCAAATCCAGAGCCAAGGAAAGGCTGGGAGGCAGCTGGAGCGAAACTAAGGCAAAATGCAAAGCAAAATATGGGCTAATAAATAAATATATTCAGAAAATACATTACTGTTCACCTTGGGTGCCTTGTAGCTCAGGGGAATTCTCACTCCAACACGTTTTCTAGGGTAAATATTGGATTTTCCCGCCTGGTTTTGCTCTGGAGGAGAATCCAGGTTGGAATCTGCTGCAGCTCCTGGGCCTAAGGAATGATTTTTGCTGCTCAACAGGGGATTTGGGGCTCGGGAATTGTGTCTCCCACCTTATTGTTCTCATGTGCTCGTGGTGCTCCATAAAAATCACGCAACGGGACATGGATCAGTCATACTTATGGCTTGATCCTGCTGCTGCATAGCTGATGAATTCATGGATTTAAGGCAAATAATCCCGATTTCATTACCAGCAAGTGCCAGAAATAAAAATGTGCTCCGAAAAACCAAATCCCGCGGAGTCGGGAGAGAGGATTAAAATTGGAAACGATCAAAAAGAATCAAGAATAAAAAAAAAAATCTATTAGGAGATATGTCAAAAAGCAAAGAGAGTGATGACATCTGCTTGCCAGCATCCAGCCCTCCAGCTGCACCTCGGAGTTTTGGATATGGGGAATAAAACGGGAAGGGAGGAGGGAAAAGGAATAGGTGGAAAAATCGGGATAAAGCAGGAGGTGGGCGAGGTGGGATTGTTGTTCTGTGCAGCTCTGAGGCTGAGATGTGCCCTAAGGACACTAATGAAGCTAAAGATCAAAGATAAAAGCGTGGGGATAAAGCTTAAAGGGCAACAGAGCTGATTTAATTCCCGGCGAGGGGAAGAGGAGCCGGATAATGGCCATTCCCGGATTTCCCGGATAATGGCCATTCCCGGATAGTGGCCATTCCCAGATAGTGGCCATTCCCGCTGCTCCTGGCCAGGGGCTCCTTCCCTGCAGGGGGGGAATGGGGAGGGGACACCACGGGCAGCCTCGGGAGTGAATGTCAAGTGGGATGGAAGAGTGGGAACAAAACCCTGGAGGGGGAGATTGGGCCATAAATGTGCAGGTGCAGCTCGCCCGGGGCCCGGTGGCCTCTCCTTCGGCAAGGAAAAGGGATTCCCTGGGAATCATCTTCCTGAATGCTCTTCTTTCTGATTTCTTCGTTATTTTCTTTCTTATTTCTTCTTTATTTTCTTTCTTTATCTTTGTTAATTTTTTATTTTTTCCTTCTTTTCTTTCCGATTTCTTCTTTATTTTCTTCCTTATTTCTTCTTTCTTTTCTTATTTCCTCTTTCTTTTCTTTCTTATTTCTTCTTTTTTTCTTATTTCTTCTTTCTTTTCTTCTTTCTTTTCTTTCTTCTTTCTTTCTTTTCTTTCTTATTTCTTCTTTCTTTTCTTTCTTATTTCTTCTTTATTTTCTTTCTTATTTCTTCTTTATTTTCTTTTCTTATTTCTTCTTTCTTTTCTTATTTCCTCTTTCTTTTCTTTCTTATTTCTTCTTTTCTTCCTTATTTCTTCTTTCTTTTCTTATTTCTTCTTTATTTTCTTATTTCTTCTTTCTTTTCTTTCTTATTTCTTCTTTCTTTTCTTTCTTATTTCTTCTTTATTTTCTTTATCTTCTTTATTTTTTATTTCTTCTTTCTTTTCTTTCTTATTTCTTCTTTCTTTTCTTTCTTTATCTTCTTTATTTTTTTATTTCCTCTTTCTTTTCTTTCTTCTTTATTTTTTTATTTCTTCTTTCTTTTCTTATTTCTTCTTTCTTTTCTTTCTTCTTCTTCTCTTCTTTTACTAAATCTTACATCCTTTATTTCACTTCTGGAGTTCATTTTGTGGAATCCCACACTGGTTTGGGTTGGGATGGAGCTTAAAGATCATCCAGTCCCACCTCCCACTCTCCCAACTTGCTCCAAGCTGGCCTTGGACACTTTTAGGGACGGGGCAGGACCATCACTGTGTCCCTCCCTGGGAGGATCCCCATCCCAGAAGGGTGAGAAGCACCATCTCCAGAGGGATATTCTCTGGAGCCCCTCAAAACCCATTTTAATTCCACTGTCACATGCCCTGCAAGGGGAGTTGAAGGAGATATTTCCTTTTCCAGAAGGAAATAATGAGGAAATTCAAACTCTCTTACTCAATAATCCATTTAAGCAAAGCAACCCTTCCAGGCTGCCCATCCTGCCGTGGCCCTTTTCAGCTCCAATCCTTTCTCCAACTTTTTTTTTACTGTTTGGTTTGACTTTAAAATGTTTCCCCCCGCCCGAGTTCTGGCTGGGAGGGCATTTTTATAAAGAGAAAACTTCAGCCTGCTTTGCTGTAAAGTGATTTTCCTTATTTTCCCCATCGTATCCAGGCCTGCTGGTGTGTGAGGGGAGAGGAAATCAGTCTGACAGGACCAAATGTTGTCTGAGCAGCTGCTCCTTCTGGCACCACTCACAGCTTCCCTGTTCCTCCTGATGGACAGTGGAAAAGTCCAGGAAGAGGCAGCCTTTTAACAGATAAAAATTCACAATTGTATCCAATTTCTTGGCAGTTTCCTGCTGGTGCATCATTCCCAGTGGATGTGCCCACAGCCCAAGGGGAGGGGAGAGCAGCAGCCAAGGCATCCTGCCAGCTCTGCGTTTTCCTGGGAACAGGAACCCCCAGGATTCTCATCTTGCCCAAAATCTGCCTTTGAAGAGGTGTTTGAGGGTGACTCCAAAGGTAAAGCTCCCAAATCAGTAAGGAATAGAATTAAGCATTTGCTTTTGTTGGTGGAGTTAACCATGGTCATGGGAATTCAGGGAATCCTGGAATGGGTTGGGTTGTGTTGGGAGAGACCTTAAACCTCATCCAGTTCCAACCCCAACACCTTCCACTAACCCAGGTTGCTCCAAGCCCCATCCAACCTGGCCTTGGACACTTCCAGGGATCCAGAGGCAGCCACAGCTTCTCTGCCCATCCTGGGCCAGGGTCTCCCCATCCTCCAGCCAGGAATTCCTTCCCTGATTTCCAGTAACTCTTCCCCTGCAGCCCCGGGGCCATCAGCTGTGTCCTGCTTCCAGGATTCCTCCTTTCCCACTGGGGGACTTTTTCAAAACCCAAATAGTTTTCCCCAACCACAACTTTTCCCCTTAACCCCCCACAGCAAGGAATTTGTGGCTTCAGTGTGTCTTTTCCAAGAATTCCTTGGGAATGATCCCCAGGACAGCCCTGATTGAGGGTCACAGCTGTTGTTCCTGCTGCAGGCTGGGGAGGAACAGACACTGCAAAGCCTCCAAGGTAATACATGACAAATAAACATCCCAAATCCCTCTGCAGTCATGGCACTTGATCCCATGGAAGTTTGGATCCTGATCCTGCTATTAAAAGATCCCTTCTCCCAGCTCTTGGCACCGTGGTCTCTAAACTGGGAAGCTGGAATTGCTGCTCCAGGGTTTATCCCACAGCTGCTGGGAGATGGGGGAAGGAGAGTCCAGTTCCTGTGTGTTCTTCTCCACGTGCTGGTCAGGTTTGCAGGAAAGATTCTCTTATTTTAGGCTTTTTTTTTTGGTCAATTTTATTTTAAATTTCCTTTGCTACACAGTTTCCAGTGGAAACATGAGCATCCTCCAGGAAGCTGGGTGTTGTAGGAAGGAGCATCTTGCAGGAATCAGAGAATGTTTTGTGATTGGATAAATGCATTTTCCTCTTTTCCCCTTTTAATTCCAAACAATAATCTGAGAGGTTTTTTTTGCTTTCCATTGTCCCTGTTTGGTCCTTCATTTGTCCTCCTCTGCACAGTGGGCAGTGATCACTCCTCGGTGGCTGCAGCCAGGAATTCCAGAGGGCTGGAGCAACCAAACTGATTCCTAACTGATTCCTAACTGATTCCTAACTGATTTCTAACCCTGCAAAGCCTTCAGGGGATGGGTGTTGTAATTCTGGGCTTTTTTGGCCAAATTTTATTTTAAATTTCCTTTGCTACACAGTTTTCCAGTGGAAACAGGAGCATCCCCCAAGGAGCTGGAATTTAGGGCCTGTTGTAGCAACCAGAGAATATTTTTTTGTTTAGATAAATATATTTTCCTCTTTCCCTCTTTTGGTTTAAAACAATAACCCAAGATTTTTGCTTTCCAGGGTCCCTGTTCCTGTTTGGTCCTTGGTGGCTGAAGCCAGGAATTCCAAGAAGTTGGAGCAACCAAACTGATTCCTGAATTCCTAACCCTGAAAACCCTCCACATTATGAGTGTTTTGGCTTCATTCCTGATAAATTAGGGCTTGGGAAATGAGGGCAAAACTGGGAAAACTGTTGAGTGATTCCAGTTCTTACTGAATTAAAAGTAGCATATTAAATGTTGTGGTTTCCCAACCATTGGAAAACCTCATCATCATCCAATGGTTTGGGTTGGAAGAGCCCTTAAATATCATCCAATTCCAGCCAATTCCAAGGGCAGGGAATCTCCCACTATCCCAGTTTCCAGCTGAGTTTGTCCTCTGAGAGGCATTTTATGTGGATCAGAAGAGCACCAGAGACTGAAGAAAAGAGGCCACCCTGGGTAAAACCTTGGGGTTCACTTGTTTTAATGAATTTTCCTGTATTAATTAACACTCTGATTGTCTCTGCAGGGACCTCCAGGACATCCTGGCTCATCCCTGAGCTGCTCCTGTGTTTCCATGGTCCCTGATGGGACTCAGAGATGTCCCTTGGAGGTGCCCCCAAAGCCCAGGGAGGGGATTTGGTGTCTTAAACAACCCCTTACAGAATGATGGGGCGGGTTTCAAAAGATGTTTAAATGCAAAATATAACTATTTATCTTCCAGGAAAACCAGGTTTCAAACCCAGGGGACATTCTCTGATTTTTTGGGTATTATTTTTGTGCTGGTTTCGGGCAGGTAAAAGGTGACAAAACTCACTTGCAATTAAAATATGATGAAGTCCAGGGGTTTTTTTTTCCCCCCACTTCTCCTTCTGTTTAACCTGCAGCTGATAAAAATCAGCAATTTCTAGTTCACACAGTCAAATGCTTGGACTGTGATATTTGTACAGCACTGTTTTATTTTCTGACACTGCAGGGACTGAGTTATTGAAGCATTTTTATTGGACTCAGAGAAAATATGCTGCTTTTCTACCTGATTTGAGAAGTTTCTCTTTTCTATGGTTTTTATAACCCATCTCCTGTGGGAAAGGTCCTGGAGTTGTAGTTTCCTGCCAGGTATTTCCTGCCATTAGTGAATATCCCAGAATGTATAAAAAGGTTTTGCCAAAGGACAGAAATGCTGTGTAATTGCACCCTTGAATCTCACATATATTGGTGTGGTTTAGAATTTGGCTGCAGCTGTAAACCCTGAAGAGCTGCAGAGGGAACTATTAGGAGAAGTTTTGTCTTTACAAATGCTATAAAACTGCTTTTTCTGCAGTGTTTTCCCCGTGCTTTGGACAGATAAAATCTCCAGCCGTGGGTGGAGTTTGGGTTGTCTCCCTTAATTTACCAGGATAAAAAGGTGTGGCTTGGATAAATGTAAACTGGTTGTGTGTCAGAACTGATGTTGTGAGGAGACATTCACTCCTAAGAAATGTCTGTGAATTTAAGTCAATATTAGTCAGGATTTAAAATCCTGATCATTGATTTCAAGTGTCTCAAGAGCTCGCTGTGCTCTGGGACCTGGGTCTGTGTGACAGCACCTGGAGATTGAATTTTGCTCCCAAAAAATGGCACAGACACCACAGACTTTGCCTCTTCTCCCCTTTTCCTGCACAGAAAATCATGGAATCCTGGAACCCTGGGCTGGTTTGGGTTGGAAGAGAGTTTAAAGCCCATCCAGTTCTGACCTCAGGGACACCTTCCATTGTCCCAGGTTGCTCCAAGCTCCGTCCAACCTCGCCTTGGACACTTCCAGGGATCCAGGGGCAGCTTCTCTGGAATAGGGGTGGTCCTTCCCTTTGTGCCTTTCAGTGTCTTTTTGGATTCTCATCTTCCCTGTGCTGGGAATTGCAGCTCCTTCAAGAGACAAGGAGCTGCAGAGTTTGGGTTGGGAGGGACAGTTTCAGCCCAAAGCACCAAATTCTCCCTTAGAGCAATCCTTTACCAATCCATTCATTACATTCTGCTTTATTACAGGTCAGGAAAGGGAAAAAATGCCTGGATGAAGTGGACTTTTCAGCCTCCCTGGAATTGAGGTGGCTGAGCTGGAAAAGGGGCTTTGTTTCAAATGCAGCAGTTTGGGAGGGTGCAGTGCCACGATATCCAGTGTGTGCTGGATTTTGGGGTTTTATTCCAGTGCCTGGGTGTGGATCCCAGTTTTATGGCAAGCAAGGTCAGTGCAGAGCTGAGCTTGCTTGGGGTGAGGCTGGTGGGACCTTCCCCTTGCCCCAGATCCCACCAGGGAGGGGGGTGGAATGATCTGGGTGTTGCTCTGAGCAACCTGGTCTGGTGGGAGGTGTCCCTGCCCACAGGGTTGGAACTGGATGGGCTTTAAGGTCCCTGCCACCCCAAACCAGTGTGGGATTCCATAATTTACCCTTCCCACCCACAAGCTTTGGCATCTGGCTCCTCATCCATGCAATTCCTGCTCTGTGCTTCCAGGATAACCCTGCCAATGTGCCCATCAGAGATGTTTGCTGCAGAGCTGTGCAGGAACAGCAGCAGCCACAATCACAGCAGGTTTCCTGGGGCTGACAGCCCAGATTAAAAATGTATAACCCCCTGTTTTTATTAATGCAGGTGCTGTCTGTGAAACCACACACCAGGCTTTTCTGGTTGTTGTACAAAGCAGGCAAACGAGGGCTGTCCTGTTCCTCCTCCAGCTGTCGGAGCCACGGCTGGGAAAACAAACTGCTGCTCCCCTTTCAAGTCTCTCCTGACTAACATTAATATGGAAAATTCAAACCAAAGGCATTTTAAAGCCCATATGACTCTGCAGAGCCCGGTTTGATATTTTAGGAAGTATTCCTAGTAAATAAAAGGCATCTGGAGGCTCGGCAGGAGTGTTGGCAGTGGGGCAGAGCTGAGCTGCTGGGGGAGGAAGGAGGGATGCTCCCAGCTGGGATGGGGCTGGATCTTCTTCCTGTGGGCCAGGGATGGGAGTGATTTTTCCACCTGTTTGTCTTGAAGTACAAAGTAGAGTGTTTGGACTCTGACACAAAATCCCAGGATCACTGAGAGTGGAAAAGCCCTCCCAGCTCATGGAGTCCAACCTGTGCCTGATCCCCACCTTGTCCCCCAGCCCAGAGCACTGAGTGCCTGGGACACCTCCAGGGCTGGGGACTCCAAACCTCCCTGGGCAGCCCCTGCCAAGGCCTCACCACCCTTTCCAGGGAGAAATTCCTCCTGATGTCCAACCTGACCCTCCCCTGGCACAGCCTGAGGCCGTTCCCTCTCCTCCTGTCCCTTGTTCCCTGGCAGCAGAGCCTGACCCCCCCCGGCTCCCCCCTCCTGTCAGGGGGTTACAGAGCCAGAAGGTCCCCCCTGAGCCTCCTTTTCTCCAGGCTGAGCCCCCCCAGCTCCCTCAGCCCCTCCTGCTGCTCCAGCCCCTTCCCTGGACACACTCCAGCCCCTCCATGTCTTGTCTGGGGGTCCCAGCCCTGCCCCAGCCCTGGAGGTGCCCCAGCAGTGCCAGTTCATGGCTGTGTTTGATGGACACAGCCCATCCCTGACCTGGATCTCCACCTTTTCCTGGGCAGGCTCAGATTTTCCCTATGGCTTTGGGATTTCTCTCACCACCCATCTTTCTGCAAGCCCAGGGCAAAGACAGTCACTGGGATCCAATTCCATGGCACTGACAGAGTGGTGAGAGTTAACACAGTCATGCTTGGGTGGCCTTATCCCTCCTGCCTTTTTTTCCTCATTTGGGGATTGAAACATGATCCTTCAGCTCTCAATGGCTCCCCAAAATCCTCTGCACGTGGAGGTGATTCACTGTTTCTCTCTCCCAAGCAATCCCTCTCTGTGATTCACAGAGCACACATACACCCCATCCACTGGGGATTTTTGAAAGTTTATTTTTAGCTTTTGCAAATAATTCACAGATTTGGATTAAGTTTCACTCCGTGCAGCAATTTGAAGCAGTTGGTGTGTGTGGAACGTCTGTCACCGAGGACAGTGACCTACAAAGAGGGGCTGAGAGCCCAGGCCATGAATTATTCACGTGCTCACGGGCCCTGGAGGTGCAGGAGGGGCTCTGGAATTCCACACTGAGCTTTTCATTCCATCCTTCCTCCCCTTCTGGCACTTGGCCTGGGCCGTGACAGGGGAGGGGGCTGCTGGAGGGGGAATAAAACCTTGGGAAGCACCGCAGAAAGGAGATGGAGAAGGGACAGGAAAGGGACAATGGTTACTAAAGGCAACAATGCTCAGGGATGGAGTGGTGGGATGGTTAAATTGGAAAAGTGCTCCAAGACCATTGAGTCCAACCATCCCCCAGCACTGCCCAGAGGATGATCCATGTCCCCAAGTGCCACATCCACGTGGATTTGTAATCCCTCCCGGGATGGGGACTCCACCACCTCCCTGGGCAGCCCCTTCCAAGGCCTGACCACCCTTTCCAGGGAGAAATTCCTCCTGATGTCCAACCTGAGCCTCCCCTGGCACAGCCTGAGGCTGTTCCCTCTCCTCCTGTCCCTTGTTCCCTGGGAGCAGAGCCCGACCCCCCCCAGCTCCCCCCTCCTGTCAGGGGGTTGCAGAGCCAGAAGGTCCCCCCTGAGCCTCCTTTTCTCTAGGCTGAGCTCCCCCAGCTCCCTCAGCCCCTCCTGCTGCTCCAGCCCCTTCCCAGCTCCGTTGTTCCACTCAGTCTGCTCTCCTTGGGTTATAATGGATGTGGGAAAGAGGCTTTTAGAGAAGGAATAAAAGAGGAGCAACTGGAAAATTAGTGGATGCTCCAGCATTTCTAGGTGGAGATTTCCAGACATTGCTGCTGTGAATCCACGACATGGGATCAAACCTGATGCCCACAAAGGTCTGACTCAGCACCTTGTCAGCCTCTAACAGGGCCTGAGCAGAGAACTGAGTGTGGGAGCAAAGCAAAGGATTTTCCAGGAAAAAATTCCTCTAAACAGACCTCCCTGAATGGTCCAAACCCACTCACTTTGGGTTTGTGGGGTGTTTAATGTCATCTGATTTTTGTCCTTTTGGGTGCAGAACTTCTGCCGTGTTTGAACTCTCACCTTTCCCACTGACTGGTGAGAACAAGCCCATTGTCCTCAAAAGCTGCAGGTGATTCCAGCTCATTTATCCATCACCACAACTCTCTGCAAGTTTGCTGTGAGAGGAGAGTTCCTTGTTCCTTCAGCTTTTCCAAAGGGGTCGTGGCTGTCCTGCTCTGCCAGCAGTGGGATATTGGCTGGGTCTGTTTGGAGACACCACTGAGTTATTTTTATAAAATAACTGAGTTATTTTTCATGTAATAAAGATGAATTGAAGGATTATCACAGGTTTCCAGTGCAAAATCCTGAGAAGAAAACAGGAAAACTGGGAGAAGGGTCTGCTGGTGGGCTGAGAGAAATCTTATCCTTCTACCAGGTGAGAGGAACCTTCTGATCCCTTTTTGCTTTTGGTAGAAAATAAATGGGAATGATGTTGTGGGTCCAGGGATCCAAGGGCTGCTCTGGAGCCAGGCTGGGAGAGCTGGGGGAGAAGAGAAGGCTCCAGGGAGTCCTGAGAGCCCCTTGCAGGGCCTAAAGGGGCTCCAGGAGAGCTGGAGAGGGACTGGGGACAAGGCATGGAGGGACAGGACACAGGGAATGGCTTCCCACTGCCAGAGGGCAGGGAGAGATGGGATATTGGGAAGGAATTCCTGGCTGGGAGGGTGGGGAGGCCCTGGCCCAGGTTGGGCAGAGAAGCTGTGGCTGCCCCTGGATCCCTAGAAGTGTCCAAGGCCAGGTTGGAACAACCTGGGATGTGGAAGGTGTCCCTGCCCATGGCAGGGGGTGAAATGAGATAATCCTTAATATCCCCTCCCACCCAAACCATTCTTGGATGATTCCATAAAATAATGAGCAAAATGCAGCTTAAAAAGCCCCACAAGAACATTTCCTTCTTATCTTTCTACTGGCAGCTCAGACACAATTCCATTGTGGGTCTGGAATGACTTACAAACTCTCTTCCTCAGCAGTTAAAGTGCAATTTGCTGGGTCTTTTGTGCTTTTGGTAGAAATAAATAGAAACTTCTGTTTTTCTGGGCTTTTATCTAAATATATTACCATTTTTAATGTGAAAAAGTGATTCATCTGTGCCATTGGCATTTAATAAATTTTAGCACTGATGCTTGTCTGGCAACATTAAGTAGTGCTTTGTGTTGGAATTATAAGAGGTAATAAATGATTGCCTGAAAGCTGCTCTTCACATCAGAATGCCTTCAAAGCTCCCTGGGAATACAAGCTAATTAGTGGTCACAACAGGAGCTGCTGCTCCTGGGGGTCTGATGGGCTGGGAAGAGCCTGGCAGGGGGGGGAAATCAAGGTGTGAAAGGCAGTTTTCTTGGGGAATAACAGAGAAAAACAGGTTAATTTGTTTCTTTTTAGTGCTCTGGTGCCCCTGGAACTGCCACTCCATCACCTGTCCTGGTCCAACCCTCTGGATCCTGATCCCACTTGGCCGAGGGCTGCCCTGGCTGTCCTGTGCAGGGCCAGGAATTGGACTCAATGATCCTTCCAGCTCAGGAGGTTCCAGGATTCTCTCATTCTGTGTTTTTCCACATTTGTTGTTTGGTGCCACAAAAATCCCTGTCACTGCCAAATGTATCCATAGGTCCAGGATTGTCCCCTTTCCAGCCTGGGGAGTTTTCTGCTCCCAGACACTGGTGATGGGCTGATGTGCTGCCCTGGCAGCTGGGCAGGGATGCAGAGGGAGGGAGGTCCCAGGGGGTGACTCCAAAAACGAATCCATGGATCCTCTGCTTCCACAGCAACACAGCCAGGACACGAGGATTATGTGTCCCTCAAGAGCACATCCCATGGTTTGCAGTGCCTTGAGCTCCCTGAAGATCCCAGAATCCCAGCCTGGTTTGGGTGGGAAGGGACCTTAAACCATCCAGTGCCACCCCTGAGCAATATTTATTTCCAGAGGCTCCATCTGTGGGAGAAGAGGCAGCTGGGAGAAGGTTCCCGGGTTCCATGCTGGAAAACAGCTCCCTGTACATCCCTGCAGAACTGGGGGGTCTGTGGGTGTTTGGGCAACCCAGCAGGGATTCAGGCCCGTGTTCCTCTGCTTTGGCCACCCTTGGTTGTTGGAGTAGCTCCAAGGACACTGGTGAGTGAGCATTGGGGT